ATCTCCTGACCTCGTGATCCGCCCGCCTCGGCCTCCCAAAGTGCAGGGATTACAGGCGTGAGCCACCGCGCCCGGCCGCTCCTTTGGGTCTTAACCAACATAAAGGTGGCAGGGAAGTGAGGACCTGCACCTCATAAGAAGAATCCCCCAAAGCTGAAAACACCAGCCTCTCTGTGCAGAGAGCACAGCCGCAGGAAGTGGCCAAACCCCGCCTGGTGGGGAAGGCACCGTGGGAGCCCCTTGGCACCGTGACCCCACCAGCAGTGATGCACCTGGCCTCCTGCAAGGCACAGTGACCCCACCAGCAGTGATGCACCTGGCCTCCTGCAACCAGGCTCTGCAGGAGTGGAGTGGGGGTGTTCCCTGGAATTGTGGGGGCAACTTACTCTTCCCCGATTTTCCGTAAAATGGAAGCCGGAGCACCACACATCTCGTGGGATCCCAGGTTCCCACAGCTCCTCCTTTCCAAGCCTGGGAGGCTGACGGCCAGAGGTCGCCCCGCCCCAGGGCTGTCAGCACCCCCAGGACCCCCAGATGCATGTGCACCTCCCGTGGCCTCCAGCACTGTCAGTGAGGCATGTGTGGGGCCGTGGGTCCTGGGACAAGGCTGGCGGGAGCCCCTCCTTTACTCTCATGGGTGTCCGACAAGAATCCATTGTGACTCAGTCTGTTCCAGGGGCTGGCTGGGACAGGCTGGTCCTGGGAAGTAGGTAGTCAGGGAAGGTGTCCAGGAGGAGGCAGCCGCTGAAGCCGTGACAGAAGTACGTGGTCAGCAGACGGGACGGGGCAGCTGCACTGACGTAATTGGGCTTGGTCGTCTCTCCACCCAGTATTTTCTTTTCTTTTTTGAGACAAGGTCTCACCCTGTCACCCAGGCTGGAGTGCAGTGGTGTGATCTCAGCTCACTGCAGCCTTGACCCCCTAGCTTTAAGGGATCCTCCTGTCTCAGCCTCCCGAGTAGCTGGGATTACAGGTGTGACACCACACCCAGCCTGCACTGAGTATTTTAGCTGAGGTTGTACCCACTGCTGTAGACTGCACAGCCCAGTCTCTCAGTGTTCAGATGGGAGCTTAGCACCATGACTGGCCGCCCTGGCTGTAGACGCCGCATCCCCAGCACAGTAAAGCTCCAGCCAGCAGGACTGGGAGGCGGAGGGCCCCCTATTTCTCCCACAGCCTGGGCCTGGGAGAGAGCTGGATCCAGTCCAGGGTGGGCTGTTACTGCACTGAGGGCCCTGGGAGCCACCCCTCCTCCCCCAGGGTCAGGGGCTGTACTATGGTTGACAAAGCCAGGCAGCCCAGGGCAGACAGGCAGCCTGGGTCGCTCTGCCCACCCTCTGACCCTGCTGCCTCCTCCCTACTCCTACCCCTTGGCCCAGCCACATGGGTGGATGCTGGGCAGAGGCTGGCTGGGTGACTGAGCATGGAGCTCCCTCCAGGGAAGCCTCTTGGTGGGACCCCACCTATCACCACAGGCCCCTTCCTGTGGGGCTTGGGGCATCCTCTGGCCAGGGACTGGCAGGAAGCTGTGCTCTGACCTCAAGGCAGCTTCTAAAATGACGTATCAGGCTCCCCCGCCTGGGTCTGCTGGGACAGCAGAGCCAGGAGACCCTGTGCCTCGTCCTCAGAGGCGGGAGTTGGCCTGGGCAGGGCCTGGCGGCTGATCCCCCCAGCCCCTCTCGCCTCATTCATTTCTTCCCATTGGAACTGGGCTTCCCCAGGAGACGCCTTGCTCTGCTCGGTGCCATTTCCTCTCCCCTGCAGAGAGGGTAGGCTGGGCCAAAGCACTGCCGAACTGAGTGGGTCTCCAGGGGCCCCTTCCCCCCTTCACCCTGAGCAGGGGGCCTGCTTGGTGGGGCCTGCTCTGTGGGCTTCCTTGGCGGGAAGGAAGGGGTTAACTGGCTGGGCGGCCTGGGGCCACTGGGGCAGAAGCCCTTCCTCCTCCCTTCCCCATCAACCCCAGGAGCCTTCACAGCTGAGTTTGGGAAGGAATTTGTTTAATTAACGTACAAAACCGCCCTCCCCATATCCTTGGTCCCGGAGGCCTGGCCACCAGGCCGGTGCCCAGGCCGCGGGGGGTGGGGGTGGGGGTCCGGCTTAGCAGCAGGCACGCAGGGCCTTGCGGAAGACATTGCGGAACTCGGCGTTGAAGACAGTGTAGATGACGGGGTTGAGGGCGCTGTTGACGTAGCCCAGCCAGGTGACCGCGCTAACCAGCCGCGGGGGCACGGAGCAGGCAGGACACAGCGCCTGTGTGATGTGCACCACGAAGAAGGGCGTCCAGCACAGCAGGAAGGCCCCTGGGGGCGCCGAGAGCCACGTTAGCGCCCCCTGCCCCTCCGCGCCTCGTACTCCTCCCCTCCTCTCTCCCCAGCCCCCCAGGGCAGGAACGCACCGACTACCACAGGCAGGACCCTCATGGCCTTGCGCTCCCGGCCGGTGATCTTGGCACGCCGCCTCCTGCGGGTCTGCGGTGGGGTCTGGGGTGGGAG